ATGAAAAGCAAAATATCGCTGTTAAAATTTATGTTTGAAAGATTATTACTTTAATTATACTTATAATTAAAGAATTATTACCTAATTAACTAATTGAAACTTATTTTGGCAAGCATGTGGGTGTTACAATCTCATTTTCTTTATCTATGAAGAATTTATTACCAAGGGAAATTATATTTTGTCCTACAATTCAACATCTGGAATATTTTTTGGTTTGATAATATTATAGAATTTTCTGACATAGTGGAAAAATGAAGGAAATTATTGATTTCTTTCAATGATCCATTAAAAATTACAATTGGTTAAGTCAAAATAGTCTGAAGGATTTCTCACAAAACCAGCATAATTGGGGCAAGTTTTATAACTAAGAATGAAATTGCATAAAGTATTTTCGTCATATAGAACGTCATACGATTCGCTAAATTAAAATTAATAAATAGCACAAGTAGGTCGTTGCCTGCAAGTTTTGACAAAGTTAGAGGCATGGGTAAGCTTAAATTCAGCATACGATTGGTGAAAATCATGTTTTACGTGATTTTGCATGTTTTTGAGCATTCGTTTTTACAAAACTTCAGCGCTGATTCGTGTAGATATCCTTCAGATCAAAATATCCTTATGCGTTTGTAAGTTTAATTACTTTTAAAAATCATTATTAATACGGGATATTATTGTTATTACTATATGATAATAATACATAATAATAATGATGATTATTATTAACATAATAAATATTAATGCGGGAAGGGTATTGTTTCGACATTGAGTTAGCAGGTAATCAAGCAAAGTTGAAAGTACTTTTCTTTCTATTTACACGAACTAGTAACGTACTATCTTACGAAAACTATTCCCTGCAGCATTTGACACTTTATGATAGTACAGAGTGAACGAATGAGGATGACTCATTGCAAATTCAACGATTAAAATTTCACTTCTAAATTCGTAAAACACAGCATTTCTCGTAAATTACCATGAGGATTGTAAATGCCATATCTATGGATAACGGATTATCAATGTCGTGACTTAAAGTAATGTGGTTTATCAACTAGAAAATATATCTATAATATAAAGCAGAATACTTTGTTTCCATTTAGGCTAGAAAGGAATTTTGGCTTCATGAAAACATGAAGACTATAAAAAAACACTATTTGAAAAGAAACAAATGCATCATACAATGAAAACTATTAGAAGTATAAACCATCAACTTGGTACTCATGAAATTAATAAAGTATTACTCAGCTGTTTTGATGATAAACGTTACATATTAGATGATGGATGTATGAGTTATGCTTATGGTCATTATCTTATCAATTCAAATAACTAAATATTAACAAACAGTTATAATGTGTAGTAAGCATGTAGCTTAGGCCTCTGTTGGAGTAAAATCATACATACCTGCTCCTCAGGTTTGACTACATATCACATAACTGTTTGTAATAAGTAATTAATACAAAACGGTTTACCGCATATACATTTTGTAAAATTTTGAGACAAAAGCGATATACAAAAAAATGCGAAATCCTGAAACAATTAGTAACAAACACTTTTAACAAAAATTATATAAAACATTAAATTATTTACATTAAATTGTTAAAATGCGCCGACTTACATGTGCTGGTTACATTAAACAACCATTGTTAAAAACATGCACTAAGGAACACGCGCTTCACAGATAAATTAAAAAAATACATATAGATTCCAAATTTTGTAAAGAGCATATGTTAAATGTCTGTTATTCTTCGAATTCTTCGAATTCTCGAATGCCACTTCGGACTCCCAATTTTCACTTCGTGAAAATTTACCCCACCGTCGTCCGAGAATTCTCGGAAACTCCATTCTTCTGCTCGAGCACTTTCTGCTCTGCGCTGCCGAGTTTCCTCCGAAACGATGCTATGTTAACATTTATTTGTAAAGACTGCTTTTAAAATTTAAACGCACCTATATATTTCAAAAACATATAGATTCCATATTTTTTAAATGATAGATTGTAAACTCGAGTTTTTTACCCCCCTTTAAAAACTGGTTCAAAACAGGTCCTTTTTCACGCTGGTACCCCCATTTTCTATACTACTACATAGGAGATAAATTATGAATAAATGTTTGCATTACTTTTATTTAACGTTATAACATTGCCAGTGAAAGCGATGAAGAATAGCAAGATACGCGCGCGCCATTGTGGAAAAAAACAGTATTAACGACGTATAAATTACATCCACTGCATTAAATAAATGCCTTACTATCATTATGACATCTATAAAAAACTCAATTCTAAATGAAGAAAATGGTTTGAACCCGTGAGTAATTGGTTTGAACCCGGGAGTATCATCACATGTTTGTAAATGTAGGTCGTCCAGGTTGGTATAGTCCTGAGAAAGACTGTTTTTGTTGTTGTTGATTGACGTTTCGACAACCTTTTACGGTAATCATCTTCGGAGTCAAATGAAGAGTAAACGTCAGGCTAGCCGTATTTGTTATCTGGTTCTTACGTCATTGTATTGTGTGTACAGGAAACGTGTACAATTATCAATTCTAAATGTAGGGATCGCTGTCTATTCATGAATAAAGAAACTCAACAAGAAATTTGTCTTTCTACCATTTAATGCTTTATATTTGCTGGTTTTTGGAACAAAAATGGAGGACGCTAAGACAGTTTTACTTTCGGTGGCAATTTTATTACAGGCCTCTAGTAACCGCCGCCCATAGTTTTTGATTTCGCTTCAATCACAGCTACGTCATCAAAATTGTTAAATCTACTTCCGCTTTACGTTACAGTTTTTCAATCATCGCTGGCTTAAAACTTTTATCTTGGCATTGAAGGCCATGAAATGGATTACCTCAAGAAAAACTGTCATCAAAAATCGAAATAACAGACGATCAGATTTCTCGGAGACATTAGCAGAAATTATGTCGAATTCTTTTGATGGTTATGGAAATATGCCGAGTTGTATATCACTTACATCAAAAGAAAGTTTGTCTTTTCATCATGTTCACAATGTTTTATTATTGTTAGTTAAACGTTAACCAATGTTAGGAGCAATGTTACAAAAAGAGATATCCGGTGATGCCAGTAATGTTCAAAAATAAGTAACAAGTTTGGAACTGAAGCGTGCTCGAGTTAGTAAAGGAAAAAGAATATGTTATTCTTTGTTTCCTTTCATTGTTTCACATTGTAGACATCGTCCACAAATGGAATTTCATTTAGAAATAATGATGTCTTTCTTTAAGAAGAAACCAAATCAATCCATACTAGCAAAAGCACCCACCTCTACAATGTGATTACATCCCTCCAAAAAAACCCGAAGAGATAAATTTGAGAACATTTACCCATCAAGATACCAAGTCATATATTGACTCTTGGAAAGCCATCAGTTGTACAGTTGCTTGGGTAATAACAGCTGCAACCTTTCTAAAATTCTACGACAAATTAAACGACAAATATAAACAAAAAAAAAACAGAGAAACGTTGATTCTTATAAGCAATCGTACTTTTATTCACAGAAAAGCTCCAGTTGACTACCTTGACGGTTTTTTTTAATTTTTAAAGTCATTGTTTCAAGTATTCATATGCTAATCCATAAACGTTTGGAATGTGGCTAAAGAAAACACAGCTCAATCTAAAAAGATTTTGAGAAAAAAGCCTTTGTAGAATACTTGTCGTTCAACAATGTTCCTGATCCAAACATCTTGTGGAAGATTTATTTAAACTAAGATTCTTTATTGACTGGCACGGGTACTGGCATCTCCAGTCATGGCGTATTGATGTAATCGTCCATGAAATGAAGAGAATTCCTTAGATCCCAGAAATAATAGACAGGATGCTATCTTGACTTGTCATTTCATAAAACCAATCTTTCTCCGTGCATCAACTTTCCCTAAAGCCTTGAAAAAATGATTTAGTTTACACTCTCGGCATTGGCCTTTGCTTTGCGATGACATTTTGCTACAGCTAGATTTTCAAGCAAAGAAAAGTTTTCATGGCAAAAAACCGATAATATTTACTTTATGAAAGAATGTTTTATGCAGTGCGGTGTTTGAAATTAAATGAAGATATGATCTTCGCAATTTGTTGGACAATTTAAGCAATTGTATCATGAACCTGAAAAATTCAGGTAACTCAACGGGACTCGAACCCATTATTTCTGCGGTGCGAATCCATGACATTTAAAGATCATATCTTCATTTAAATTCATTTAATATTTTCTTTAGCAGCATATAAATAAAAACAAGCAACGGAATTATATAGGAAATGTTTTGAAATATTTACAACGTACACGAACTACAACAACGAATGTAGCACAAAAAAAATTACACGCGGGATTAAGTGTAGGTCTCGCTTTGCGAAATCAGCACAACGACATGACGTAAAACGTCGCGTTTGAGCACGCTCAGATTCTTTCATCCAATCTAAAATATACTAGATGGCTATGATGATTTTTGAGAGCATGAACATGTCGAGCTATAAGCGTAGAATAAGTTCTAGTTGACAAACGTAGCTTAATATATTGTTTACATTCTTTCCAAATAATTATATGTAAGTAAAATCAATCTTTTAAAAAGCTACTTGTCATCAACTTTGACAATAATAATGTGGAAGTTATTTTGCGGGAAATTTTATTGACGGCTAGCTACGCCACTGTATGTGATAATGATATCTCCAGTCATTGATAGTCATTTAACTTTACTATGTAATATCATTACTATTGGTTTTGCATTATGAACTTTTGGACTTTGACTTATAGAAATTTTTTTATAATTTAAGACTTAAAACATATCACAGAATAAATATTACACAATTGGAAATCTTTCCATCGATTTTTTGTCGTTTTGTAAACTTGTACTACAGCGCTCGTACGTTTCTTGAACATTTATTTTATATGATGGATTTGGACTTATTTTAAGAACTTACTGCAATACAATAGTAAACATGTCATCAAACCCACATGACAACCATGTCACATTTACAACGAAAACGTGACGATGATCATATGAATTTTTAACAGGTACAATGATTTTCATATGACCTTTTATTTATGACTTTCAAACAATTGTGTTCAGTTGAAACCTTTATTATTGATCATAATTTGCTACAATGAAATCCTTCCTTTTCATCGTGATAATGGTGGCCGTGAACATCTCTCTTGGAAATTCATATTTTCAACGGATAAAAGGAGTAACGACAGAAATATCATTGAATGGCAACGACAAGGTTTGTTATAAAATATAAACAACAACACTTAATTCTTTGGGAAAGTTTTTGTCGAAATGATTTCCATGCAGGTTTATGTTTATGTTTATGGTTTTTGACAAATACCGAAATGTTCTTTTGTTATGGCTTGTCTGTCGTTTTTATGCATTGCGTTTTCATTTCCAAAGCTTCTTTATTGCATGATGTTAAAACTTATCGCTTTGGACTGTGAAATGAAAAGTGTTTTGCCATTTTCTTTTAGTTATTGTTGCATATTTTGCTACCGTGCTACACTGCCACAGTGCTATACTGCTTTACTATCGAAGGGCCGTGTTAAATAATTAATAACCATTTTGCATGTTTGCCAGCAATTATTGACTTGAATTTCAGCCATGTTGGTGGCGTGATACAAAAGAATAATTTATCTGTGCTATTTTTGGCACCAGCAGACATGGGCGAGTAACATTGTTTGGTAAATCTCAAGAGAAAAATTGCAAGTAAAGATCAGCTATTTGTTCTTCCTTGCTATAGATTTAATCATAGATTTGTTCTTCCTTGCTATAGATTGTGCATGTTCGTTGCATTTATGAAAAATATGAGTACGTTTTTTTGGATGTTCAATCTCAGTTAATGTCTGGCTTTGCTTTTACAAATCTTTTGCGTAAGAAATTTAAGTTAAAAATAAGGATATGACATTATTTTTAAGTTTGGAATTGTTTTTGCTTTAACTGATATTGTGTAACACAATAGTAAAACCCAAAGGAGCTGAATTAATGAGATCTTTTAAAAATTTTAAATGCAATTTCATTCATTGGGGATAATGACTGTACCAAATGCATAATTATTTATATCGTTTCCTGTTGCTTTTTACACAGAGAAAAATAATTTCATAGAGTGTTTTTGGTAACGAGCTGCCATTCTGGCATAAAAATCCATGTAAATGCATTTCTACTTGGTAAATGTTGAAACTTTGAAATAACCAAAAATATATAAAATTTTGATGTATATTCAGATACTTTCAATCGATGTCACCGGAAAACAAAATATCCATGTATAAGCCAGTAGCTAATACTCGACAAAAGTTTAATTATGCCTATTTTCCAATCTCATTACGCTCTGATTATGCACTAAAATCTTCTAATTTAATCACCACACCCGAAACGAAATTTGTGACAGTAAGTATTTTTTCTTATTAATAAATAATTTGAATTTTTAAGGGACAGTGGCGTAGTTAGCGGTCTAGCTCTTCCAGCACGGCAAGACTAAATATAACAAAAAATGAACATAATCAATTCTAATAATTTAAGGTACACATAAGAACACAAGTAATTTTAAGACAAAATTTTAAAAAATTTGTTTTCTCTTTAGTATCAAGTTAGAAAGATTTTAAAGGGTTTCTTAGCAGCAAATCTGTTTTTAATGCAGTTCCTTTTTCACTTTCTCGCATGCAACTCGACTTCACTCCTGCCATTTATGAGCAGGAATGTCCATAATAAACACTAGAGAAAATTTGACCATTTTATTGGATAATATTCCAGTGTCTCCTTGATATTGCCTTTTTATTCAGCTTTATAATCCTGCCATTTGAAATGAGGAGGAAAAACAGTTGTAAATAAATTATAATAACTACAAAAACCCTGCAATTCTATTGGTTAATATGCTAGTGGTGCTTTATACTAGCATTTTCAAATAAGCTTTATTCTTGAATTTAAAATAGCAGACTATCCAATATTAGGGAGAAATTAATACATTATTTCGAACAATGAATTAGGCAAAGTAGTATTGTTGTTTATCAAAAACCTATCTATATTATAATACATGTGCGAATTTCGGTTATCGTAAAGGCATCATGTATGATATACCACGCATGAGTGATTCGTTGTTGTAGTATTTTCGTCAAGCAGCAAACGACAGACTTGCAATTATCGCAATTATAAAGCAACATGATCTAACTTGTTTTATAGTCAAATTCAGATGTGAATTCAAATTGGAATATTTACAACCGCTCTAAAACACAGCTACGACGATGCCCATATGCCTTCGAGTAATAAACGTTTGTTTGCATGTATTATATATTAAAAATTAGAGTTACAAAATTTGATAAATTTGTCTTGAGAGCTGCTAAATACCTAAATCGTCTGTACTCTTCGATGTTATAGAGCATGCCCAACTTTTTTAGCTAGATACGTCACTGTTACGGGATATCCATGGGGTTAGGGTTTGTGTGGAGTTCATTATGTATTTAAAAAGCAACAATCTTAAAAATATTGAGAATTAACAAGCATTTAATGACTTTATTGAGTTACCATGTTTGGATCGGCTGATCACCGACACGATTCCGTCTTTAACAAAAAGCATTTTCGCAATGTTCTTAAAGCATTAAATTTTAACACTCTAGTAATACCTCTCGAGATAAAATACTCAAGACTTTCGATAAAGTGTCTCATATAACCTGACTCAAAAATGAGAATTTTTTGCGAAAATGAGAAGTGCCAGTAATTTAGAATATTTCGCAGCAGCACGATTGAAATGAGGTATTTAAAGTGATATACGACAACTTTCTTTAAATTTTGTAATGTACACATGTTTCGGCAAAATTATGCCATCGTCATGCCGAATAACCTGTAAATGATTTACATAGAGTTCATTTATAAAGAAATATGATACATAACATGTGTATAGACAAAAGAGATAGATGTGAAAAAATTTATTACATTGTTGTGATTAAAGGGCTTCTTTAAGATTTATCTACGCGCATTACTTCTATTTAAAACACAAAGAAGCAATGTGCATCAAAAAACTTAAAACTAATCTCAACAAACAAATTCAGAATATCAATACTAGGCCCTTGAAGAAAGAGCTCGAGGTCTTTACGAGAATTATAGGAGTGGTATCTTTTTGTACAGACTGAGCCCGTAAGGCGAGATGTCTGATTTTTTTTAGTAAAGACTGAGAAGCGAGGTTAGTAAAAGGCTTATTATATGGCATTATTTAACGTTAAATGGAACTTGCTTTTATTTTCATCGTTGCTGTTTTGCACGGGTTGACTTTCACTTTTCTAGTTTTTCTCATTAAAAAAGAAATCGTTTCAAATTGTATCGTCAAATTGGATAGTTAAACTGTTTTTCCGAGTGTTTTTCCTTCGAATGACATTTGCAAATGATTTTTTGTTTGGTTTATAGATTCCGTTATTCTTTTTCAATGTAGATCGTCCAGGTTGGTATAGCCTTGAGAAGGACTGTTGTTGTTGTTGACGACCTTAGCGGTAGTCATCTTCAGAGTCAAAAACTACAACGTCATTTGACTCTGAAGATGACTACCGCTAAGGTTGTCGAAACGTCAGTCAACAACAACAAAACAGTCCTTCTCAAGACTATACCAACCTTAACGATCTACATTTACAAACATGTAACGATATTCCCGGGTTTAAACCATTTACTTTATAACGTTATTCAATTACTAAAACTTACAAATTTTAGGCATTGTTCTGGCCATTAAGAGGACATTAATTTTGACTTGTATCCGGGGGCGAAACTAGAACGCTAATTGAGGTGTGTGAACATTCATATATGCAGCTCTTCTCAACTACTTTCTTTCGTTGGGGTGTTAGTTTTAAACGAAACCAGCCTGGCAGAGATAAATATAGGTATATTTACCACCACCTCCAATTAGAGTTCTAATTTCGCCCTTGTGTTTATGTTTTCTACACTCATTGTGACAAATAAGATGTTGTGGCCACAAATTAGAAAATCTAGTACGCTCCTCAAAAACTATATTCTTTAATTGAAAGTAAATGGACCTTCCTCACAAGGTTTCATTTTAGTCTGTCGACTTCCTTTCTTCAATAAAGTTAACTTCATTCAGCTACCAAAACTAAACAAAGAGACTAAAATTTAACTGCTTTTCGTCGCTGTTTTTCCATCTTATTTATATAATTTTACATGTCATCATTTAACTAAACATGATTTTTAACCTTGTGTTTGTAAAAATAGTTTGATTCTCTATCAACTATGGTAGCTTCTTTACTCAAACTTTTGAGTTATGTAAACGAGCTATTGTTACTTTATTTTACAGAATTTAAAGAAGATTCGATGTTCAATAAATGCATATTGTGAAGACTATCAAATGTGTTGCCGTAATCGACAAAGTTTACGAGGTTATGGTTGTTGTCCAGTTAGATATGCACAATGCTGCAATGGAGGATATTGCTGTCCACGTCCATATACTTGTTCACCTGTTATTGGTTTATGCCAGATTCCTGTACCTCATGCAATGAATTATTGATGGAGTGCAGTGTTGATGAAAAGCAAAACATCGCTGTTAAAATTTATGTTTGAAAGATTATTACTTTAATTATACTTATAATTAAAGAGTTATTACCTAATTAACTAATTGAAACTTATTTCGGCAAGCATGTGGGTGTTACAATCTCATTTTCTTTATCTATGAAGAATTTATTACCAAGGGAAATTATATTTTGTCCCACAATTCAACATCTGGAATATTTTTTGGTTTGATAATATTATAGAATTTTCTGACATAGTGGAAAAATGAAGCAAATTATTGATTTCTTTCAATGATCCATTAAAAATTACAATTGGTTAAGTCAAAATAGTTTGAAGGATTTCTCACAAAACCAGCATAATTGGGGCAAGTTTTATAGCTAAGAATGAAATTGCATAAAGTATTTTCGTCATATACAACGTCATACGATTCGCTAAATTAAAATTAATAAATAGCACAAGTAGGTCGTTGCCTGCAAGTTTTGACATAGTTAGAGGCATGGGTAAGCTTAAATTCAGCCTACGATTGGTGAAAATCATGTTTTACGTGATTTTGCATGTTTTTGAGCATTCGTTTTTACAAAACTTCAGCGCTGATTCGTGTAGAAACCCTTCAGATCAAAATTTCCTTATGCGTTTGTAAGTTTAATTACTTTTAAAAATCATTATTAATACGGGATACTATTGCTATTACTATATGATAATAATACATAATAATAATGATGATTATTATTAACATAATAAATATTAATACGGGAACGGTATTGTTTCCACATTGTGTTAGCAGGTAATCAAGCAAAGTTAAAAGTACTTTTCTTTCTATTTACGACGAACTAGTAACGTAATATCTTACAAAAACTATTCCCTGCAGCATTTGACACTTTATGATAGTACAGAGTGAACGGATGAGGATGACTTATTGCAAATTCAACGATTAAAATTTCACTTCCAAATTCGTAAAAGACAGCATTTCTCGTAAATTACCATAAGGATTGTAAATGCCATATCTATAGATAACGGATTATAATGTGGTTTATCAACTAGAAAATATATCTATAATTGTTGGTTTGTGGTTTATCATCTAAAAAATATATCTATAATTGAAATTATATCTTTAATGTAAAATCGTTTCCCATCAAGAGATGACGTAAAGCTGCACATGTAGTGCGGGTCTTATATACTTCTGGGTTAATTCAAATCGCAGTAATAAACTTTATCATCTATTAAGAAATGATCTCTCGAGAGACCAAATTGTGAGGTCTTATGCAATTCATTACGTTCTGCTTTTCATCATTTCTTAAAGATTTTATCTTGTCAAGATAAGCCTTTAAATGGGTGACAATGCATAATCTTGGATCAATAGGCTATGCTAAAAACTCCAAAGGTTTCTGGTGTGTACAAATTAACTGGAATGTGTTTTAATTTTTTCTTTATAACAAAAATGATTTACTAATTTCTCCCTTTCTTGTACTGGGTTGGATAGGGTCTCCTCCCACTGTTCAATAAAAAAACTTTAGGGATAATCTTGTGTTGGGAATAATATTGTGTTATGAATAATATTGTGTATATTCTCTGATGATGTCTTTAGAATAAAGTCGAAACACGTAGCCATCCTGAAAACTACTATCGTGGTAAGAATTTCTCGTCTATAACCAGTTTAGAAAAGATTTGACTTCATTCCGAGTGGGCTTGGTAGCTCAACAGGTAGAGCGGCGTAATAGTTCATGAAGGTGCGAGTTCAAGTCTTATCCATGTCACATGTTTTTCATGTGCATTTAAAAAGCCTGTTTCAAATAACATTGTGTATATTCTCTGATGATGGCTTTGTTGTGGCTAGGTATAGTTTCCTCTCTGTGATTGTGGTTAAGATAATTTATGTCCGCTACCTTATCTGAGATGGGTGCAACAAAACCATCAGTAGGTCTAAAGGAGTAGTCTATAACACTAAGAAACCTGTCAATTTCCTTCTCTAAATCATTCCTTCGAAGAGGCTAATAGCATCAGCCTCACAAGGGCGCACTGAAACAACGAATTCCCTGTTAGATGAATGTTGAACTTCCCTAAAGCTAGTGTAAGTGCTTCCTCTAAAGCTGTATGTGTTGCCCCTCTATAACTTCCTCATCGATTCCGCAATGCAGTAACGCTGTCAGGAGCGGATCCAGGATGATGCCACTGATGCTAATGCATCAGTCAGATTTTAGATGTTGCAAAATTTTCGTTTTTCAAAAACTTTCAAAAGTGAAATAAATCAGCAAAATGTATACAGTTAGCCCTATGCATTACTAGTGAATTAATTTAAAACGTTTTCCTTCAGTAAACCGATGTTTATACATGGTTAAAAAATTTACACCAAGTATTATAGAAATGAAAACAAATTCAGTAAGATATCCATTTAACCGACAATATTTACCAAAATATAGCGATCGCTTAAGCAATGTTGACAAATATGTAATTATATTCTAAAATTAATACAGTCGTGAATAAGTCCAAAGAGTTCAGTATCTTTACGTCACATTGGGGTGATAGTGCATAACTATCGTCACGTTGGGTGAAAAGTGCATCAGAAGTGCAACAGTCCCGAGTATATTTGGCCGAATTACCAAACAAGACGTCATGAATACAAATGTTTTGTTGCCTACTTTGCGTTGGGAAACGGCTGCTAAGTAGTGCACTAAGCCCACGATCAATTGGAGTGCATCAGTAACTGATGCACATAGCCTGCGGTACATTTACACTTGGATTACGGATATATCTATATTTTTAGTTTTTGATTTATAATGGCAGAATTTGTGCGAAGCAACTTCGATCTTTGGTCTCTGTTTCACAAGGAAAAGACTACCGATATTGCCATTATTAGAGGAGTGTTTCAAACAAGATTGTATGAAGCAATTTCTCGTATGAAGCGTAGGGGTCCATTTCGAAGTGGAACGCAAGTAAGAGATTTGTATTCTGAGCTTCTTATTCCCAAGCATATAACTAGCACATGGAACTTGCAAGGAGAGTTACGAGCTATAAAGTAATTTTCAAATTTGATTATGTTTTGACATAGTAATGCATTGCCATTGTCTGATCGCATTTGCGTGATGTTGTGGTTTTAAAGGAATTTCTCAGTCCCATCTAGCAAATGTGTATCATTATGATACATAATGGCTTGATTTCATAATGGCATGAAATTGATAACCTAACTGATAATCAATGTTAGGTTAAAATTTACACATGATATAACGATAAAGGAACTTGATATAGTGCTTGCATGTGTTAACAGGCCGAACAGCACAGCTTCTGATGAAAGTATGAACTATGAAAATATTGTAATTTAAGGAAAGTGTGATTTCTCATAATACTGATAAATTTTATTAGTGATATAATTTTAATTTTAATAAAAATTTTTAAAACAATTTTATGAAACAATTTCATTATAAATTTATACAGATTTTAATAACGAAAACAACAATCTGTTGGAGTCACAGACACACAGAAGTTTAAAAAGTGAATGATTTATTGTAAGTGATCCGCAAACGAGTTATAATTTATATTTACTCAATTTGCAAAATATCATAATTATCATCACAAAAGATAATAAATAAAAATTGCACATATTGCACATTTAAATACCGAGTATCTAATAATTTTGATTTCTTCCATGTTTATACCTCAATAGGTGCTAATTAATTCTATGATTCTGGGTAATGCGTGACTTCAAAGGATTGTATCTTTCATGCATCCTGTATTTAGTTATTTTAATGATAGGCAGTAAATTAATAGATTATTATAATAATAGTAATTTTTCTGGATCTCGTTTGAGTTGAGATCACCCTCAATGAACTCCTCTGATAACAGTCTAGGCGTTCGCTTTATTAAACATTTCACTAAAGAAATTTTTTCTCTGTGTGAAGGAAAAGAGTCAAAGCGTTTGTAAAAACCCGTAAAAGTTGCCTTGCAGTGAATGCTTCTAAGGAATTGACCATTGCGTTTATGGACAAGAACATCCAAAAACGCTAAAGGGAAATTTGATTCATGTTCACCATCCTAAAAGAATCTCTACCGGTACAACTTTGAAGCAATGTAATTTATAAATATAAATGGGAGTGTGATGCTCGCTATGTAGGTAGAACGTCTCAAAGGTTGGGTGATAGATCGCATTGACTTCCGCACCGGAGAAGCAGGCAACTGCTTCTATACCTGCGCTTGTCATGTTGATATTAATTATTGTTCATCAGTAAATTGTGAAACACTATTTAATTAATACAGCATCATCTGCCCCACTTAAATACATAACCATGAGAACTATAACTTCAAGATCAATTGAAATAAAATGGAAAGCACCAGATATCAAGGATCAAAATGGCATCCTTTTGCTTTATGAGGCCACTGTTTATGAAGAAATGTAACATTCCAAAGTCAGAACGGTTACAATCTCGTCTTTATCTTCAAACACTACTGTTTGGTAAATGAAAAACTTGAGTCCATACTCCGATTATATATTTCATATTAAAGCTGGAACAATTGCAGGAGTTGGACCACCTTTTACTCTACACAATCGTATTGAGAGGATCTTTAATATTGTCATTTGTTCGTGTTATTAAGTTAAATGTTTTTATGCTTATGCACCTGAGGCTGTACACGGGGGTGGAGGTGTGTGTTAAGGAAATTTCAACTACATTTATGTATTGGAGTGTTTTAACTAAGATAAATGGATCAAACTCATTGAGTAGTTTAATTTAAATAGATTATATAACTTCATCACCTTTATTTTAAACTATGAAAAATAACTGTGAAAGAAAACTTTACTTTCATTATTTTTAAAAGACGTTCAAATGCAGTATTTTATCTTTCCTTTTTTCCTTATAGTACTTTGGTTCATAACTATTTCAATACATCTCGTTATTTTATGACGTAGAATTTCTGTTGCTACACTACGTTACTTGCTTAATTTTGCTATCAAATGCACGAAAGCAACGAAAATGTATTCCTTAGTCAAAAATTTTACTTGATAATTATAGAACAATTGTTTTAAATATTTTATAATTTATTGTTCTAAAACATTACAAATTTTATGATAAGTTTGCCATCAGCAATTGTCGTAGCACATCGTCAAATTACAATTCTAATTAGGACGGATAGTTTGTTTTTTAACTAATAAATTGCAGTGCACGTGTGTATTTAAAAAAACTTAGCATCTTATTGCCCAGTTTGTTGCAGCAGAAAGTAATCAAGTATGCAAATAAACTGTAAAGCTGTATCATCATTACAGGACAAACTGCAACAAAAGGTGAAACAGCAAAAGGTAAGTTTCTGTCAACAATTTTAATAGACCTTATGCATAATGACGTTAAAATGCGATGATAGCAGTACATTGTGAACTCATTAGCCAGGCGAAAGTTTGATAAAGAATCTTCTACGATACTATAATAACCTGTTCCATGCATGTATTTGTGTATTATATACGATTACAGTTCAGAAAATAAAGAAAAAGCTCGCGATGCCTTTTGCCGTTGTAGGAACGCCGAAACTCTTCTTTTGCTGTTTTTTTTTATATCCGCCAAACACCTTAAGATCCAATTAAGAATTT